TTTCCATTGTACTTTTTTAAAATAAACTATTGAAACTGTGTACACTTTTTAAAAAGAATCGTGTGATGTGTATCTGTATGTTTGTAGATTTTATTGTACATATTATTATAAACTAATTTTCCTGCTCTCTTACAGAAAGTTTATGTGGAACTTAAAAATTCTTATTTTTTTGTTGGAAAAAATGGAAGAGATGAAATTTTTTTCTAGCATTAATACTTCGATGCAAAAGAAACCGCATGAATTTCTTGTTACGCGTCCTTTTCCGGTAAGAACAATATTTGCTGATTTAAAATTTTAATTAATTCTTCAGTCTGTTTGTGGTTTGTTTTCAGATGATTATGGCAAAGCGCACAAAGGCTATCTGTTCAAGGAAAAGAATGCCTTAGGGCAGCAACTACTCGTAGTTCATATTTGCATCACACATGGGAAAAACCACGAAAACGTCCACGCAGTCAGCTCTTTTATCGGGATTTGAACAAGGAAATCATCATTCGAATATTGTTCAATCCTCGTTTGAACTAACGAGGATTGAACCATTTATTTGATATCCTCGTTTGAACTAACGAGTATCGCACTATGTGTTGGTGAACAGTTATTGTTCAGTAGATAACATTGGTGAACAGTTATTGTTCACCAATGTTATCTAGTCGGCCACTGATGAGTGTCTTCATGCTGGGAGTCAGACTATACGTAGTCGCTCGCAGAAAGATCTCTTAATCATACTTGTTTTGAGTGAATGATTTCTTTATAATGTTAAGGTCTTCCTGATACTAAATAGGTTATATAACCTAGGGACTCTGATTGTTTCACCCACAGCAGTCTTCAAGCTTTTTGATACATAAAACTTCTTCTCTTCCATTGTGAAATAATTCATATCTGTTCAGAGTTATCTCATCGGTATAGCATTTCCCAGTATACAGCCGATGCTGAATAAATATGAAATTCCTCCAATTTCAGAGCTAGTCCTATTGACGAAAATGTTAAAATTTTTGCCATAGTTGTGATGAGTTAGATAGTAATGAGGTTATTTTGAATGATTTTGCAAACTGATAAATATTCAATTAGCAATGAAAATTAGGATGAAATTCCAAAATGACGACGAAAGCGAAATGATAGGCTTGAAAATCAGTGGAAGTAGACGAAAGTAAATGTCAATTAAGCTGCGGGCAAAGTAACTAAGTTACGTTTCTATGCTAAGAAAATGGAAATCTCTCTTTCGTATAAAAATACATCCTGAAATTTGCAAATTAGTTTCTGAGGAAATTGTAATGAAGACAATAGCAAACAATACAGATAATTATGCCCCAGCTTTTGCCAATTCTATTCGAGACCAGCTAAAATTTCCATTTCAAACTTCATAATTCGAAAAATATAGATTTTGATGAACTCTTATCTAACTTTAAACTACAAATGTTGATGAGTATTGCTCAAAATCTTTCCTGAAAGCTGGGAGAAAATAAAAATCGAGACATAAATTTTCTTCAAAAATATGAGTCAAAACAGATTGCTGATAAGATTTCTTCACTGGCAAAATTTAACTTTGCTAGTTTTGGAAACCGATAAGAGATTTTCCAGTTCGAACAATTTATCATGGAAACATTTCAAAATGCAATAATTTTAGCCGATCTCTGCACAGAACAAAGTAGATAGCTATTTAAATACCGCCAGGAGGGGTTAGGGTTACTTGAATATGGCAAAGCCACTGAGAATATCTGCCTAAGAGGATGGATACCTTCGTTCAGGAGATTCTAAAGGAAACTGGCTCTTATTCACGTTACACATAGGAAAAACACGAAAGCCAACCTTGCACTCAGTCCGTTTCTACAGGATAGAATATACGTAGAATCCAAACCAGATCGAACTTCAATATTCAGCAGTCTTAAGAAGCGCTAGGCCATTGCCAGAATAGAAGGAATGGTAATTGAAATTTAAATCTCCGTCTAAAGTGCTACCATAACTATATATATATATATAAAAAAAAAAAATAAAAAAAAAAATTGAATTTCTAACTTTCACTATTCTGTCGTCTCATATGCTTTAGAATGAAAAAACGGTCTTCATGGTTTTTAAATCGAAAAATGGCAAATATGTTAAATATCGCTATTTTCGTTCCAAGACATTTAATGGTCTTCCATGATTTAAAATTTTGTACCTTACACCTTCTGTTTCTTAAAAATTTTTAAAAACAAGTTGTAAATAAGCAAAGAAACACAGCATGCAAACTGCCTTTCGCGACTGAATAACAGAGTGAAAATGAAGATAATAAATTTCCAACCAGAAATTCGCTTATCAGGAAACGTATTCAAATGGAGCGGAATCGTATTCCAGTTAATAAAACTAAACCGGAGCATAGAAATGGTTCATTTTTAGACATGCAGTTCTGATATTCACAGAATAAAGAGCGAGTTAACAGAGATATTTTTATGTGTATATTGTAAAATTGCTATTATTCATCTACATCAATGCTTCCCAACTTTTCACATATGCATACTCCTTCTATAATTTTCGTAACGCTGAGTACTCCTCGTAAAAAAGGGGGGGGCCTATTTTATACAATCAAAATATATTATTTGTTTATTTTCTTATTTTTGGAATACGCAAAATAATAAAATAATAATAAGAAAATAAGAAAAAAGAAAATAAAATTAAAATAAATAAAAATAAAGTATGTTATAAATAACATTATTGATTATGAGAAAGATGAAAATGTTGTGTGCGACCAAGTTGTCATATTTGGTTCTCTAGTGTTAAATAATCTGAGACGCGTTCAGTCAGTAGTGCTCTTTTTTTGACTAAGGCCCGTCCAACGAGTACGCTCGAACGTAGCTGACGAACGCGCTTTTACGGCCAGCGTAAGGCCGTCACACGAGACGTCGACGTAGTGAGTAATTTTTTGACGCGGCGTAATTCGCAGGACGCAGAGACCGTACAAATGAGTACGCTCCTGTTCAGCTGTTAGCCGCGACGCGCGCGGATAGCCATAGACGACCGAGTTTTATCACGGTCAAATCAGAAAACCTTTTGCTTACCGTTTCAATATGGTCAGAGCACACAGAGATGAGTTTTTGCTTAGAAATATAAATGTATACAGCAATAAAATAATCAGCATTGTTCACGCCATCTTAGATTTCTCAACCGTACATATTAGTATAAATTTAAATTTCATTAAAGGGGAAAACTGTATATTATAAAGCAATGATCCGACCTGTATATCCATATGATTCACCTAGTTATAACACCGTAAGTAATAGGAGCCTAATAATTACAGTTCTACGAATCAAAGTTTTGCCTTAAAATTCTCCTAATATTATAATATTGGCTATACCAGGGTAATAAAAAGCTCTATAAATATCCCAATATTAAATATACCAAAAACTAACTTCAGCAATATAATAACTCTAAATAAAGCAGTGACTGTGAAAGAGTATTCAATAAAATACAATACGAAATTTTGGAGGAAAGTTACAACTTGTGTCATACAGAATCATTTATTTAAGTTTAATTAAATGACCTTGCAGCGACTTACTTGTTACATTATTTTCACAAATAACGTTATTACAGATAGCTGAGTGGTCAGCGCGCTGTTCTGTTGGCGGAGGAATGGAAAGGTGGCAAGTCGGACCTCACCCGTAGACGGTATAATTCAGTTAGTTTTCTCATTTGAAACGTGTTTTCTTATATAATCATGAATCATTATATTCTTATTTTACCTATTATTATTGTTTTATTGTATTTTATTCATTATTATTATTGTTTTTAATTTAGTTTAAAAATGGTGCAGTGCAATAGAAAATCCTTATGTAAAAATATATCTGATCTCTTATCATATATCATCTATAAATTCTCTCTTTATTTTTACTTTATTGCATATTTTATCATGCACATAATTTTCATAAACTGTCCAAAGTTGAACCTCATTCTAAATTCAAAATAAATAAAAAGAAAACAAAAGACGTGAGTTAAAAAAATATGAGTGGTTTTATTATATGGTGGATGGTGTATATAAAGAGAATTAAGTAATTTAATTCTCTTTATATACTGTATTCCAAACCATTTTATAAATCTAATTTCATACGATATAGAATCTGCAAGTCTGTCAAAACTGGTCGATACTCATCCTGAAGGAATTAAAAAACAAGTAATATACCCCCCCTCAAAAAAAAAAAAATTAAGTCAATTCCTACTTAGGGCACAAAGAAAAGTTTAAAAACAAAAATAAATAAATAAATAAAATATAAACATAGTTTTTTTTTAAATTAAAAATTAAAAAATTTTAATCTGAAAAAGCTGTATAACTCAAGTGTCATTCACGCAAGTTTAAAAAATTGTATTTGAACTTGAGTGGATGAATAAAAAGCATTTTATGTACTGAAAATTTGAACAAGATATAGGGAGAGTGTGAGCTAATAGTAGAAATTTAATAATTCCAGATATTCCTTTCGCAAACAAGGCAGTAAAAAAAAAAAAAAAAAAAATCTTTTTGAATAGGTTGCTCTTAATAAATCTTTCGGACCCATTCTTGCCATTTTTTGCGATTTTGCCTCTGCTTAATAATTGTACATAATAGTAAAGTTTCAGCTATAAAAAAAATCATCTGATTCGGACAACTTGCCTTAAACAGTGAAGTAATTAGATACAGCTCTGTTGACGCTATATTACAGCGTCACGTGATTTTTGCGCAAAATAATTCTATTGGTTAAACGTACTCTTCGCAAGCGTACTCGTTTGGACGCTTAAGTGCGTCTCCTTTTTTTCGACAAATACTGAATGCTGAAAAAGCAACTTCACAGAAACATGAAGTTGGAAAAGGCAAGATGTATTTCAGAACTTTTTCTGCTAAAACCGGATACAATCTCGATTTAGGATTTTTTCTCGTGCTAGCTAACGAACATCGGTATGAAAAAGAAGCTGAATATGACTACTTCACATTTCTTCACATAATTTGCGAAAAACGTCGTGCATTCAAAGGACGGTTTTTAATCTAGTTAACGATTTTCAAGCTTTCTCCAGAACTTTCTGTAAATTAGTTGGTATCTTGCGTGTTGCCAAAGCCTCTCTGTGTATGCAACAATGTGTGGATAGGACATTTGGGGCAACATTTTGAATTCTTGCAATGAGTCTTTCATCAATTCTTACCATACTTTTTGTTCCATCTGTGCTTATTCCAACACATCTATTCCAATTAATGTTGTTCTCTTGGATAAATTTATCCATAACATTAAAGATATCGTCTCCTTTCGTGTGACCTAATAAAGAGTGGCAAAAAAAAGTCGTCATGAATTTCTTGATTTTTTTTCGTATCTAACAAACGCCGTAAGATTTGCAAAATTCGCAGTATCAGTGGATTCATCGCCTATCATAGCATAATAGCAACTTTAAGAAATATCAGATAATAACATCTGTTTCACATTTTTAAATATATCAATGATTCGTCGATGAACTATATTATTTGAGAGAGAAACGTAGTCAAAAGTTTGTTTCGCTCTATCTCCTTTCAGTACTTCTGCCATTATATTGGCTGCAGGCTTGATTAACATTTCGCCAACGGTTTCCATTGCACTACATTTTGCAATTAAAAGCGACACGCGATACGAAGTTTCTAGTATTTTTTGATTGTTGCCTCCCGTCAAACCCCTCAGTACTTTTCGAAACTGATTTAAATCCTTAAGTTCATTTTCAAATAAACCTATGGGTTTATCTTTGTACTAATTATGGTTTGTCTGAAAACGGTGTTATAAGTTGGATGGTTTCATGCTTTCGTTTGTTAGATTTTCAAAGCAAATGACGCAAAGCGGAATAGGCTCATTTTCCTCTCCAGTCCATGAAAATCCAAATTTAAGATATTCTTTGTCGTACTTGCGAGTTTTCCTTGCTTTTTCCTTAACAGGTTCTTTCAGAATTGAAGTTGATTCGTCGTTAATTTCATTATTTCCTGTTAGTTGATTGCTACTGTAATCATTACTTTCTTTCGGTGTAGTTGTTCCAGATTTCAACCAGCAATCCATAAGCTACTTTAGGGATAAAAATTATATTTTATAAAAAAATAATCAAAATTAGTGGGACTTACTAAAGCACTTCTATAAGAAAAATCGCACAAAAGCTAAAAATACTCAGACGCCTGGAGAAGCCACTAACTATTAACGAAGTAAGTTGTTTCTGTATCCAAGTGTCTTATATTCCTGGAGTGTCACATCGGACCATCTCACGTCTCCTACGACTGTCTTGACATGACTCACGAGAGAGTAGAATTAGGTGCAGCTAAGCACGGTGCAGTGCATATCCCCACCAAACTCCGGTGTAACACGTACCCCCACCAAACTCTTTCGTACCCCTGGGGATACGCGTACCACACTTTGGGAAACACATCTATATGTTCATACCTCTGAAAGCATTTATTTACTTAGGAGTATATTGTAAAAAGATTTCTCCTTAGAAAAAGTATTCCCATTATTAAATATGACGTTTTATCATTTGTTAAAAATGAATAAATAAATAATAAAAATAAAATAGTTCTGGGAATAGGAAAAATTAACAACCGGATTATATGATCTCATTTCAGGCCTTACATACGAATTCTTCACAGTCATATAGTGATTCACAAAAGTGTTCGTACACTTACGAGTTTCAGGGAAATACATTCATTAATAAAAAATAATATTTTAGAATGAAAATTTTTTAATAATATGTATAAATTTCTCTTAGCAAAACTACATTAATTATTTATGAACAATATCAAAATTATTTTTGAAAAATCAATAATAAAAATGTAACATAAAAGTTACCTCACAAAAGTCTTCGCGCACTTTAAAGAAATCTGCGCATATTAGCAATATTGTAGTATTTCTGTCAGCTAGCATTTTTTTGGTATTTATTACAGCTTTCAAACATCTGGGCATAGAGTTCACTAGTTGATTTGTAATATCTGCATCAATGCTCCTCCATTCTTCTATCATTACTGTTTTCAGTTCGGTTTTTGTTTTAATGTTGTGTCTTCGTACTCTAAAGAAAAACAATCACTCGGTTTCTCTCGATAGAATTTGAGGTTTAATCCTAGTATCCGGTGCACACGGGATTTGGCTACTTTTGGCGACTTTTATGATGAGCAGTAAAAACAGGACATATACGATGAGTAGTAAACGGGTTATAGTATATACGTAGACGTTCTTTGGGTCATTTTTGGTGTTGGCGATAATTTTCAAAATCGCACCAAGGCTGCACCGTATACTAGGATTTTACCGAATTTGATACGAAGGGGGAATAATCCCCATCCTCTGATTTGAAATTAATCTCGAATTATGTATATATTGTAATATAAAAGATGTGTCATTAAGACTTAATTGAAGTAGTGATTTGAATCGAATATACAAATCGAAAGCTCTTCCAAATAGAACTAACTATAGGTTATAGAAATAACATATTTTAGTGGTGCCTTCAACAAGGGACTTTTGGATTAGAATTTCGAAGATTAGCAGATGGATTACCTGTAAACAGGTAAGCAATTCCTTTTTCTTTGAAAATTTGAAAAAAAACTAAGTTTCTATATTGTGATTAGTCAAATTTAAACATGGAAGCTTTAGACACACTGAAGCAGAAACGTACGAATGAACGCAGTAGCGTTACGAAATTAATTACAAAAATAGAATCTTTGTTATCAGAAAATATCGAAAACACAAACACTGAGGAATTGCAGGAGATGAATGAAACAATTCTCGAAAGAGAAAACACGTTGAAAATGTTGAATTCACAAATCGAAACTCAGTTAAAAGATGCTAAAGAATTTGAAAAAGATATTTCTGCAAGTGATAAATACAATGAACAAATTATGTCTGCAAAGTTTAGAATTAAAATAAGATTAAATAAATGTAATGAAAATTTCGTCTGTGAAAAATGCATCAGATGCAAATTCTTTGAACACTTCCGTTTCTGAAATAAATGTATCGTCATCGGCTATGAAATTGCCAAAGTTAAATATTCCAAAATTCTCAGGAGATGCAGGAAAATGGTTAGAATTTTTTAACAGTTTTCAAGCTGCGATTGATCAGAACAAAGCGTTAAGCAAGATTAAAAAATTCGTATACTTGAAATCATTATTGATAGGGCAAGCATATAATGTCGTTGAAGGATTTCAGTTAACCGAACACAATTACGATTCGTGCTTAGAACTTTTAAAAGAACGCTTTGGAAAACCAGAGAAAATTATAAAATCACATATGAATAATCTTTTGGACATAGAACCAGTTAAAAATTCTTCTAACTTAAATGCACTAAGAAGATTACACGACGCTTGTGAAATAAACATTCGAAGCTTAAGTAATTTAGGAGTAACTTCAGGTTCGTACGGACACTTGTTAAATCCGATATTATTGAAATTATTGCCTCATGATTTGATTCTCGAATATCACCGAAAGCGTGATCCAAAAGAGGAATCTGATGTTACAGGTTTAATTGCTTTTTTGAAAAACGAAATTGAATGCCGCGAACAAACGTACGCAGTTAACAAACCGGAACCGAAATTCGTTCCATTGAACGGAAAGAATAAAACTTCGACAAACACAAAAGTAATTATAAATACACAAACAATAAGTTTAACTCTAAAGTTAACCCCTCGTCGGCGGCAGAATTATTAGCTCCTGTAA